CGTTCTTCTGAGAACGGTGACCCCTGTCCTATTAGTGTATAAACGTCTCAAAAATGTCCTCGTAGGACTTGTTAGGTTCTGTAATTGAAGCCGTAAGTAGGTGCGGCAATGACCCGAAGGCTATGGCCTTAACCCTCTCAGCCCTTCTGGCTTCTCCCGCCCTTTAGGCACCGCCGTCCGTTATAGCGGACTACCTCGCGTCTCGAAACTCGTTCGCGCCGCTAGAAATCGACATGGAGTGCTCTCACTCCGACTCCGCGTCGTCAGTATCTGTCTCCCGGAAGAGGCCTGCTAAGAAGTCTAGCACCAGGACATCGGAGTCCTCTGACTCCGATGATACCGGTGACTCCAACAACACATCGTACACCACGGTGTCGTCAAAACGCACAGCGAAGCGCGCCGCGAAAAACCGTTTGCCCCCCGCCTCAGCGGCCCTTGCCGCTCCCCCCGCTCCCGCAGCCCCCGTCGCATCCGCGTCCTTCCCCCGCTGCCAAGACCCCGTTAGACGTCGAAGCCGGCTTCACGTTGCGCTCCTCAACTCGCTAAAAAGCAAGTCCCGCCTCCTGTCTTCTTAAGAGACAAAACTGAATTCACCCGTCTCAGCAAAATTTGCTACGATTCGGGTATAAAGTACGACCAAGCTACGAACATGGGCGTAGCCATTAAAATAGTTCCACAATCTATTGACGATTTTCGCCGCATTACTAGACTTTTTACGAACGAACGTGTGTCTTACAACACATACGCTCTCCCGGAAGAGCGTAAAGTTAGGGTAGTCATCCGAGGAGTCCCATTTGAGCTCTCCAACGAAGAACTCCTTGAGGACCTTAAGTCGCAAGGATTTCCAGTTGAGGCTGTGCATAAAATGCACAGCAGAACCGGGTTGAGATACCCAATAATTTTAGTCATTTTAACTAACGTTCCGGAGGCGAAAGCTATCTTTCGACAAGTACGCACCGTGTGCGGCTTGTCGGGAGTCAGAGTTGAGCCATCGCATAGGCGCGGTTTCCCGGCGCAGTGCCATCGCTGCCAGCTTTATGGGCATGCGGCGGCCTATTGCTCCGCTCCACCCAGGTGCGTTAAGTGCCTTGACCCGCATACCACTAAGGAGTGCCCCCGGCCCAAAGATGCCGTATCCCCGCCCGCGTGCGTCCTGTGTCAACAGACAGGCCACCCGGCAAGTTATAGAGGATGCCCGTGCGCTCCTCGTCCTCGCCCAAATAGGCAGATCCCACCGCCGGTAAATGACCGTTCATTCCCGGCATTATATGTTAGGAAGCCCCGTCAGGGCTTGTCCCAGCCGCCGCAGGGCTTCGCACGACCCCTTCAGGGTCCCGTTAGACCACCGCAGGCGCCCATTAGGCCACCTTCGGGCTTTTCAAAGCCTTCGCAGGCTCCAGTATTTCCCTAGGGCCCTAAAAAGGTTGACCCACCGCGGGCAACCTCCTCCGCTCCTCAAGCGACAACACAACAGCCATGAATGGTCGATGACCTTAACACGGTTTACGCCGCGATAAGGAACATCGACATCAATGAAATTGCAGTGTTAGCGAGTAAATTGCGCGCTGCGCGCCCTCAGGACCGCTTATTAGCTCTCGTAGAGCATAATAATCTATTGCGCTCATTGTAAGTTAAGTTAATTAACTTAACTTCACAATGACAGAGCCATCTGAGCCTATAAGTCACGGACGTATAAAGCCTAAAGAGTTATCGCTTATCTCTTTTAACATTCGCGGATTACGTAATAACCTTCCAGAGCTTAAGCTCTTCCTTAGAGATCGCGCAGCCGATTTTCTCCTCTTACAGGAAACCAACCTCAAATATAAGGACACTAAAGGCCTTTCTATTAATAATTATTCTCTTCTTCGTAATGACAGGCCCGACCGCCGAGGCGGCGGAACGGCCATTTATTACAAGAGGACATTACATTGCTCTCATATTGATACGCCACAGCTTACCAATATGGAAGCTACGATATGCAGGTTAGCTATGACGGGACATCAGTCTTTAGTCATAGCCTCCTGTTACATTCCCCCTGGAAACGACCCCCTCAAAAAAGATTTCGAGTCTATATTATCGCTAGGCAATTCAGTCATTATGTTTGGAGATTTTAACTCTAAACATAATGAATGGACATGCCGTGCAACTAACCGTAGTGGCAAGAAACTGCTCGAAATATCGTGTATAATGTGGACTGTAATAGTCTCTTGACATTACAGTCCACAGTCCACTCGGTGCTACTCACTATCCCGATGCCACCGATTATGCCCCCGATATACTAGATTTTGCGTTACTCAAAGGAGTTTCTCTTAACCTCAGGTCAATCGAGACACAAGACGATATAGGATCCGATCACCGACCGGTCTCCCTTATTCTTGGCCATCAGCCACCCCCCATAACAACAACGAAAACGTTTACTAATTGGAAAGGTTTCAAGGATTCTCTAGCTAAAGCTATAGACTCTCAGGACTCCCCCACCTACCTAGCGTCGGACTTAGACTTAGACAGTCCTGAAAAAATCGACACCGCGGTCGATTCACTATCAACACTTATTAAATCCTCCCTTAAGGAGAATGAAAGGATCGTTCCGGTTGCTAATAATAGTGGGCTTCCCCTACATATTAGCAACCTATTAAAAGCTAAAAAAGCTGCTTTCCGGAGAGCAGCAAAATATCCCACCCCCGAATATAGGCACACGGCGAATCGTCTTCAACGACAACTCCGTTTCCAACTCTCCGAACTTCGAGACCTCCAAAGGAGTGAACTCATGGAGAATATATCTCCCTCACATACAGCGTACTATAAGATGGCTAGAGCCCTCCGTATAGACGCTACAACTCACACTCCCCCTCTCTCTCGCCCCGACGGTACGGTTGCCTTCGAGGACGACGAAAAGGCCGAGTGCTTCGCAGATAGCATTGCCGATAAGTTCACCGCATTGTGGAATACATCCTCAGCGGTTTTTATCCTCGTCGACATAAAACCATCGCGGTCTTTTTCGACATCGCCAAAACCTTCGACCGAGTTTGGCACGAAGGCCTTATATTTAAACTATACAGAGTAGGTCTCTCCGATCGTCTAGTACGTCTCGTGGCCTCTTACTTACAACATCGTACCTTTCGTTTTAGATACGAAGGCACGCTCTCCTCTCAGAGACCCATCAAAGCTGGTGTTCCTCAGGGATCAGTACTTGCTCCCCTCCTCTACATCTTGTACACCAACGACATTCCAATCCCGTCGAATGGTGTACAGCTCTCCCTATTTGCAGACGACACTGCCCTTTACTTTAAAGGTCACACACTACCTTTCGTAAGGAACAAGATCCAAAAGTGAGTCGATGACCTAGGAGCTTGGTTCCAAAAATGGCGCATCGATGTGAACCCGGATAAGAGCTCCGCAGTTCAATTCGATTGGAAACGACGCCGATTCAAAATCAATAAAAATATCCCACCGATACGTATGTTAGAGACCACAGTTCCCTGGCATACGTCTGCTAAATATTTAGGTGTCACCCTTGACACAAGGCTTACTTTCGAGCCTCATATCAAAAGAGTCACCCGTCTAGCACGGTTCTATCTAGGTAGGCTTAACAGTATGTTAGGTCGACATAGTAAAATGTCTCTAAGAAATAAGCGAACCCTTTATAAGGTTTGTATATGACCGGTAATGTCCTACGCGGCCCCTATTTTTGCACACGCAAACTCTAAAATCATAAACGAACTTCAAATAGTCCAAAATCTCTTCTGTCGTCGAGCTACGAACGCACCTTGGTACGTCCGTAATGCCGACCTCCATAGGGATTTAGAAATCCCAACAATACAACAATTTATCAAAAAACTCTCTGAAAACTTTTTCAAAGTCTCAGAGTCGCATAGTAACACATTAATTCGTGAGGCAGCTACTTATGCAGCCCCACTCCCCTCCCGCTATCGCGTCCGCAAACCGAGAAACTCTCTCTCGGATCCGCCAAACAAACTGTCAAACGACTTGAACTGCCTCCTGGCGGCTCAGTCAAATTCATAATTAATTTTTCATAATTAAATTGTATTCATAATTAAAATGCCTTCGTAGGCACTCCCTCAGCGGCTTATAGCCGCCTGCGCCCTCTTTTTCCCAAAAGAGGGTCGCTTTACGACACGGCATGTGAAGCTTTAAACAGCTAGTTGTCAGTCCCCAAAGGCGGTTTTTAGGGGGTATCACTTAGGCTCCCCAGTTAGGCGTGAGTCCCCCATAGCCACGATGGATAGCCTATCGTGGTATGCGTAATGCATTTTCCGCCTCCCTACGTAAAGGGTAGCCCTTTTCCAATTGCTTCGGGCGCAAAAAAAAGAACGGTCGGCAGTCGCTCTCCAGCCACAGAAAAGAAAACAGCAGCAAGAAAATAAAAGTTCCTCCTCACCGCCGCTTGCCTCCAGTTTAAGCAAGACCAACGCGTTTCATTCATTTTTCGAACGGCGTTACGGCGATCCGTAACAGTTGAATACAGTATAGTTCTACAGTACCATCTTTTCTTTAAGCAGTTTCCTAGCGTAGTCAGTCATACAGTCCATTAACAAGTAAATTCATACAGTCCACTTCGATCCCTTATAACCTTGACGGGGATTATCACTGAGCTTGACACGTCCACGTTGAAATTCAGCAAACCAGCGATAAATTGTGGTTTTGGATGGGGCTTCATCACCAAATGCAGAAATCATCCGGTCAACACACTGTTTTTGTGTTAAACCACTTGAATTCGCTCTTGAATTTTCTCGAGTCAATTCCATTTTCTCAACGACTAAACAAGTTTGACAAAACCTTGTGACAAGACCGAGAATCTTTTTTTAAATAAATAAATGGTATACGATTTTTAAAACCAAGGGGTTTTCAATTAAAAAGATTTTAATATGGCAGGAACAGTGGAAATATTCCATTCCCGATACTTTTAGTGCAGTCCTCGTATCACACAATTTCTCACCCTGTCATTCAGATTCAGCGCTGGTGTTGTGTGTATTTCTTACCTGGTTATAATATCTTTGCCGGTCGCTTCGTATATTGCCTTCGACGCCATCTTGTTTTCTTACCGCAGTTTGGTTTAAGAAATGGATTGTGTTGAGCGTCGACCGAGCGTCATATGGCCGCCGATTTTGTCTGTAAAGAAAATGACAATGAAAATGTTGAACTAAGGTTACATGTTAAAAGGTTGTGAGAAATCATTTCCCTAATTTTTATAGAGTAAGGATGACAAACGAGCACACAGTCCACCTGATGCTAAGTGGGTGCAGTGACCCCTATGGGTCACTGCACCCACTTAGCATCAGGTCATATCTATATATCTACATATATCTGTCCTCAATTAACAATCAAAATGCAGATGCGTTGTCACCCGTGAGGACTAAGATGAAATGCCTCTTTGCCAGTAAAAAGGGTCTGCTGTCCGTTAGTCTCGCAAAAACTCGAAAATGGCTCGACTGATTCTGATTAAATTGTTTGTGTGTTTCAGTGGGTCCCTGGAAGGTTTAGATTCACAATTGGACCCGGTAGGTGAAAGTGTTATCAAGATTCAGAAATCGCCCCGGCTTCGCACGGGTGATTTCTGATTGGGTGATTTCTGTATAGCTAGTATTGAAAAAAAAATGATTTTAATCTATTCCATAAACTTCAATAATTCTGTCAAAATTTTACCGAAAATAAATTTAAAAAAAATAACAATTTGACGATTTATTGCCAGTTACTATAACACAATTATCTTTTTTTATTGGAAAATAAGTTCATTAAAAACTGATTTTATTTTCCGAACGTGACTGTGTAATATATTTTTGTTATTAAACTGTCAGATAACAAATATTAACGCCACTATCTCTGAACTTCGTTTGAATGTTTAAATACTATCTGAAGTGCCACAATTACTGTTTTTTATCGACTTAAAAAAAGGAGGAGGTACTTACTTCGACTGTATGTTTTTTATGTGTGTTACCTCATAACTTTTTTTCTGGGTGAATCGATTTCGATGATTCTTTTTCTATTTGAAAGCTGGTGCTTCTCACGTGGTCCCATATAAATTTGATCAAGATCTGACCAGTAGTTTTTGAGTTAATAATGCGAATTTAATCGACTTCGACTACATTGACGATGTTCTCATCTTATTTATATTGAAGTCGGTTGCACAAAATTTTATTTTATCATAAACTTCTTTATTGTAGAAATGGATAAATTTAGTAAGGTATCGAAAAACGTCACGTTTTCTTGAAACGTTTCACCGCCGGGGCTGCTACTATTGTTTAACCTTCTTAATCTATACAAGTAAATAAAATTGAAGTGTCTGTTTGTAATGTCGAAATAACAGCTTTTTACTACATGCATATGAAAATATATAGGATAGGGTGACAAACGAGCACACAGCCCACCTGATGGTAAGTGGTTGCTGTGACTCATACACATCCACATCTATCCTCAATAAAGAATCAAAATGCAGATGCGTTGTCACCCGTGAGGACTAAGATGGAATCCCTCTTTTCCAGTAAAAAGGGTCTCAGGTTCTCTACACTCACCATAAGAAACAGCAGTGTTAAGCTGCTATTCTACGCTGGTATTCTGTGAGAGCGTGGTCCTTCCTCGCTCGAGCCGACCCATTCGTGCTACAACTATACTACTAATACAGCTGTAGCATGGCTCTACCACGTATAATATTATACACGGTACTAATAACAAAACCACAATTTTTAAAATTTTTGTCTGTCTGTCTGTTTGTTCCGGCTAATGTCTCTGAAACGGCTAAACCGATTTCGACGGGACTTTCACTGGCAGACAGCAGATATTATAAGGAGTAACTTAGGCTACTTTTATTTTAGAAAAGAACTAAGGTTCCACGCAAGAAAAAATTAAATATCATGAAATCCAATCGTAATAAATTACACGCGGGCGAAGTCGCGATGAACAGCTAGTGTAAATTATAAACTAAAGATGAATGATATATCCTAAATAAGTTTCACTTCGTACGTGTGTATGTAATAGTATTTTTTTTATAGATTAAGGGTGACAAATGAGCACACAGTCCACCTGATGGTAAGTGGATGTTGTGGCCCATAGACATCTACATCTTATCCTCAATTAAGCATCAAAATGCAGATGCGTTGTCACTTTTGATTACTAATATGTAATGCGTCGTTTCCAGTAAAAAGGTTCTCCGGTTCTCTACACTCACCATACGAAACACAGCAGCGTTATTGGCCGATAGTAAAATAAGTTAGATTCTAAACTAACATAATATATAGGATAAGTGCATTTGTTATTAACACATGTTATTATTTTGTATATTTGTGTTCGTTTTTCTTCTGCGTTTATGTCTAATACTTTATGCTTTTGTTCTTTAATTGATGTTGCGTATTTTTTGTTTTTTGCGTATAAGTTATGATTGAAAGAAAAAGCCTATACTTAAACTTTTATTTCACGATGGTATTCAGTGACGTGTCTGGTGGGACGTGGATGGATGGGTCTGCTTGCCCAGGAGGATTCGTACCTACTACTACAACCATCTATACAAATAAATAAAATAGAAGTGTCTGTTTGTAAGGTCAAAATAACAGCTTTTTACTAAATGCATATGAAAGTATATACGGTACTTAAAACAAATACAATTTTTAAAATGTTGTTTTTGTGTGTCTGTTTGTTTGTTCCGGCTAATCTCCGAAACGGCTGGAGCGATTTTGACGGGACTTTCACTGGTTAGCTCTTGTTATAAGGAGTAACTTAAGCTACTTATATTTTAGAAAAAGAATTAGGGTTCCGCGGAACATAAATTTTACGCGGGCGAAGTCGCGGGGAACAGCTAGTATTAAATAAAGCTACAGCGTAAATCTATCACCCGTGACCCCTCCTATACTACTTTTTTATTTAATTAATTATATACTCGTAGTATTACAAACACTAGAATTTAATGTTGTAGATAAACTGCACAGTGAAGTTATACTGTTTGTGTGTCATCACAGATACTGGGCCTAATTTTTACTATCATATAGCAGTTTTTTTTTTTTAATAATTTCAAAGTTAATCCTCTTGTCTTCTTTTAGCTAAATCATCAAATAAACCAGCAGTTATCAATAGAGAACCCATGAAAGAAAGAAGCTACCGATATTTTTCAACAAACATTCTATACGTGGTATTAGTAGTATAATTGTGGTACGAATGGGTCGGCTCGACCGGAGAAGGACCTCACAGAATACCAACGAAAAATAGCATCTCAATGCGTCTGTGTTTCGTATAGTGAGTGTAGAGAACCGGAGACCCTTTTTACTGGAAACGAGATATTCTATCTCAGTCCTCACGGGAGACAAGACATCTGCATTGATTCGTAATCGATGATAGATGTAGATGTTTGTGCTGTAGCAACCACTTACCATCAGGTGGACTGTGTGCTCGTTTGTCACACTTACCATATAAAAGTATATATAGACAACTCGCAAATAATTTTTTTTTCAATTAAAATATTTTTTTAATTTCAAGTTTTTTTGAAAAAAAAAAGTTATTTCTTTACGTTTGAATACTGACTGTGCGTAACGGGAACCACAGGGTTTTTGTTACATGTTGTATATTATATATAAATATAATGTCTAACTTACGTAGTAACTTATCTAATCTGTGGTCTAACTTGCACTAACCATCCCTGTACTCGTATTCGCTAAATGTGATTCTAAGCTATAATTTTTTAATTTTGTTTTTACCTATTATAATCAAGTGCTTGAACACATCGCACCTGGTGGTAATGGTAAGTGGTGAAGAAGCCCGAGATGGTAAACCGTGTGAACAGTGTGAATTTGTGTTTTTGAAACGAAGTTTCCTATCGGTCGGTTCGAATTTGACGGAAAAAGTGTATGAGGCTTCATTAGACGCTAGTAATTCATTTATTTGTATTTATTAATCAATAATATAATACGTTTATCAATAATAATATACTAAGAAAGGAACTTCATTCCAACCGAGTGTTCCACGCCACTCATTTTACTTATATTACCACGCACTTTTTTTTACTTATATTATGTTGTCTCCTGTTAGATGCGTTCGCTATCTATGTACAATCAAACTTTATTCTAAAGTTCCGTAAGATGAGAACGCTATACGCTAGTAAGAGAAGACGAAGTATATACGAACACTTACATAACAAATTAGATAACAGTGAACGAAATAGCAATCGTTCCTGGGTTACTTTTCTACAGACTTCAAAACGGAGACGGTATTCAATTCAACTGTATGTTTTATTTATGTGTTTTAGCTCATAACTTTTTACTGGGTGAACCGATTTCAATGATTCTTCTTTTATATGAAAGCCATATAAATTTGATCAAGATTTGACCGATAGTTTTTGAGTTATTCTTAATAATTTATATTGAAGTCGGTTGTACCTACAACATCTTTAATTTTAAATTATTTATAAAACTGAATGACAAACGAATTTACACTCCATCTGGTGGTGAATGGCTGCTGCAGTCCATTGACACCAGCAACCGGACCGGAACACGGCAGTACACGCTACTTGGAGGCAGAAGTAGTTAAGGGGTGCCCGTTAAAATGCAATAAACTTAGAAGCAGGGTAGGATGTAGTGTCTGAGAGATGTGGACACACAGACAGACGTTTAAAGCAATTATTTGTGTTTTTCTACCAGATCTTAGCTCAGGCTCGCATTGGAACCCAGCCCTGCTGTGTAGTAATCAAGTACTCTAACCACTAGGTCATGTATTAGTCAATATTAATACGTACGTTTGTTTCCGGCTCAATTGTCCGGCTGAACGGTCAGTTGCCTTCCTTGTTCGGAAGCCATACTATAATTATCTGCCGACTTCCAAAAAGGACACGGTACTCAATTCGACTGTATTTTTCTGCCGACTTCCAAAAAGGAGCCGGTACTCAATTCGACTGTATGTTTTTTTTTTCGTTTTTTTTTTTATGTGTGTTACCTCAGAACTTTTTTCTGGGTGAACCGATTTCGATGATTCTTTTTTTATTTGAAAGCTGGTACTTCTCGTGTGGTCCCATATGAATTTGATCAAGGTCAGACCAATAGTTTTTAAGTTATTCTTAAATAACTTATATTGAAGTCGGCTGTACAAAATTTTTAATTTTAAATTATATTATTTGTTTTGTTTTTTTATGTGTG